TAGTAGTCATAATATGCGTAATTAGATTGATAATAATAAGAATAATAAGGATAATGATAATAAAAGTAGTAATATGGGTAATAGTATAGGTTAATTTGATAATAATAAGAGTAGTAAGGATAATAATTATAGTTCCACGATAATAGTAATAATAACATGGAGAATGATATATGTTAGGTCTCCAGACCTAACCTGATACAACCTAACCATAGGCTCTGACCTAACATGATCCGAACTAATCTTAGGTCCTGACTTAATCTACTATAACCGAACCGTAGACTGGACCTAACCTAATGCGCCCTAACCTTAGGCCCTGACCTAACATAATATAACCTAACCGTAGGCCTGACCTAACATAATCCGACCTAACCTTGGACCCTGATCTAACCGAATATAACCTAACCGTAAGCCTGACCTAACCTGTTGATTGTCTGTTATGTTTAAGAATGTAAGGGAAAGGATTGTAAATAAGTACATGATTTCTTTTGTTTATTTATTGTAACTTCATAAATTCATACAATTTGCAAATATATTTTGTACAATTTTTAATTTTTTAACTCTTTATTGGCTTAATTCTGTTGTCGAAGATCGAGGCAGGTTGTGTGTATATTCAATTTTGGAACTGAAAACTAAAAGCATTTATAATAAGATATTTATTGTTGTTGCACGATTTAATAATATTTTTACGTGAAAGTTAGAACATTAGTAAACAGAAAATGTTATTTATAAAAATAATAAATTGAATAACTATTTATAATGTACAATTGTTGTGACTAAATATATGTGTAATATATTAAAAAATAGGACTTACGTTGATTAAATGGAACGCAGAGATCCTTCCTCCACTTCAATGCCGTAAAGACTAGCTCGTCGGTCTGATAGCATGGCTTAAACTACTTTTAAGTAGCGCGCAGATTTGTCGCGCACGCGCAAATGTAAGCGCGCATCGATTTGTGTACTGCGTGTATTTACATACACGTAATGAGATTGCTCTCAAGGGTCAAACTGTACCTAATTAAACTTTTCCTCCTCCGTAAATCAATTTTGCTCCAAAGAAATTGGAAGAAAAATGATGACTATCACTGAATTGCTATTTGCTAAGCTTTTTACGAAATGGAAATATTTATTGATTGCATTTAAATTAATACATGTAAGATCGCAAATACAGTACACAGATCATCTTGATTACATAATCTATATCGCGTGAAAATAATATACAATGAAATGTACAAATTCTTCACTGTGAAGTACAGCTCTTTATACAATTTTTAGATTGAATTAATCGCTTTACTAATACACAAGTTTATAATTATCAGAAAAATTGTACGGTTTATTTAATTATTGTACACCCTAAATGGAAACAAAATTTCTGTCTATACTTCAACTATCACAATTTTAGTTTTATTTCTTTCAGATACATTTTGTTTTAACACGTTGTAATGTAATTTTAGTGGTTTTATAATATTTAACTGATGCTATTAATCGTTTATGTCATAATAACTTGATGTAATAGCAAAGATAATTAATCAATCTTTACCGAATATAGCATTAATTATATTACATTAACTGACAAACAATTCTCGAAGGAAACAGGACACGATGGACGTTTACGCGTTAACAAAGCAATTCATTTCTAAACTAATTTTACACAATTCCCTAAGAATATTCTGTGACCAGTTTTTACATTTAATCTCGTTACCCTTACTGCAATACCACGAAAGGAAGAGACACATATTACGGAAAAATAATGACCATCACGTGATACTTTGAACGCCATTTCTACAACGCGATTGCAAGCAGCAAAAAAGAAAAAATGATATTCTGTACAAAATCGCTGTACGAACCGCTGTTTTGCAGTACGGTTACATTCTACATACGAGTTACGCGTGACGTTAAAAAACTTATGCCCTATCGTTCTTGGCCCTATAATTAATTCTGCGTTTCGTTATTCAATGTATTTTGTAATAAGGCTTTTTCGATGTCTGATATTTTTCTCACAAGTAGCAAAAAGAACATAACATGTTTGGAAATTTATGTATTCTTTTTCTTCTTACATATGGCGGATCAGCTGTTACGACTAGCTTGAACAAGATCTTAAAGGCACCCTCATCTTTGCCTTCGTTACATGGCTGTAGCCAGGGAGGATTTGTCCTCCTCCTACAGGAAGATAAATTAAATTACAATAGTACTAACTTACATTTTTTATGTAAAAATAAATATAAAATACGTTTAAAGTAACATGGTGAAATTTGCCTAAAGATAAACTAGGAATATAGGGGTCTGGAGTGCTAGAAATCTAAGGACTTTGGGATCTAGGGATCCAGGAATCTGGGAATTTGGGGATCTAGGAATTTCGGAACTTTATAATACAAATATTGTCCTCTCCACGATAGATAATCTGGCTACGTCCACGTTTTATTTATTTACTTCTTTTTGCAATCTACGTATTGGTAAAAAACACGATTTAAGCTCGCTAGATAAATGGAAGGATCTATGTTTTAGAAATTTGAGACACAAAGACGGATCTGTACGTTTTCTCAAAGTATAAATATAGAGAAACAGTCGGCATTACAAAGTTAGCGAGAGATGCTACAAAGGGAACACTTGGAAACGTCCTACGCATTGTCAATTAATCTCAGGCTACATTTTTCACGGTAAAAAACGGTTTCTACGAATAGAAATTGTCTGACTAGGTGTGATCAATGTACTTTGAAATATAAAAACTTGGAAAAGATTGTGTTATTAAATGGAATTGAAAAAAACTATCCCAAAAATGGTTCATCGTTCATCGTCTCTATACATTTTTTTAACAAATTCTCTACAGCTGTTATCTTTCCACGATGAACGCGAAAGCAGGGAAAACAGCGCGAAGACAATACGTGTTCTTGTTCACATCTTTTACCTGAAACGAACATGATCAGGTAAAATCATCGTTGAATAATTAACAAAAATCGATGGTTTTTAATTATGCTTTCGTTTCAGTTTATATCCCGCAAAATGTAAATACTGTCAAGATGCAGGTTTTTAATTCGATTTTATCAAGTTATTATATGATTTTCGTGTACTATCGTAACTATTATATTGCAATATGTATAATACACGAAGCTACGTGCTTCATATACAATATATATATATATTCATATATATATATTTTCGTATCTTTAAATATATATATATATACTCGATCAAAAGAAAAACGATAATTGTTCTAACCTACTGTCACGTAATTGGCTAATCATGTCATACTTACAAACTGTACGACAATGTACAGATTCAGATAATTCTGACATATTAAAAAAAGGAAACGTTTCACCTAGTCTTATCTATACACGTTTCTTTTCTTTGTTCAAATAAATACAGGACTATCACATTAATACACGCGTTTTACCGATTCTCTCACTCTCTCGCACGTTTAACATTAATTGCAATCGCTTCAGTCCTCGCTCCGTATCACCATTCGTTTTCTTTCGAGTTCTTCTTTCACGAAGAACGCGAACTCGCAACACGATGCACAAGAGATTCGTATAAAATAAATATTTCACGTTGTCTTCGTACCTCGTATCAAAGCGATTTTAAGTCCCGTTGATTTTCTTTTAAAGCTGCCACGGGAAACTGAAACGATTTCACTCGTTCCAATTTGATCTCTTGTCCCGTCTCGTTACATTTATTCACGGTAAGTTACACGCATCATATTTCTTCTAAAGACTCTTTCGCGGCGTTTCACCAAAGCTACAGGACAATGTCTTCTTGATTTTACAAAAAACGAACAAAAAACGTCATTATTCCACGGCTACCAAGTCCTGTACACTGATCCGGCATCACGATCGCCGGACGCGTAACGTGTTCTAGCTTCAAACGTGCAACAACAACAACATAAATATCTTTTCCGTCGATTCACCTCGGGAAAACGCATCTCTACGTTTGAATTCGTTTAAATAACATATAATCTAGGCCCCTAGAGCGTAGCAGCGTATTTTTATACGAAACAGCGACGTCGAACGATCCTCGGTCAACAACATAGCTTTCTTGCCTTCCGGTGTCCGACGTTCTCAACGACCACTACACGTCGATGAAAATCCATCCAACAGGCAACGCTAACACCTGTTTTCGTCGCGGTTCTCCGCGCGCAATTCGATGGATCCTAGTTTAGGTTCGTTTGATTGTACTCCACGATCCTGGTGGCCAGACAGGCTCGTGAATAGACAGTCTTGTGTCTCGCCAAGCTTCTTCTCGAAGCTGTGTTACCGGCAGAGTTTAACTCTTGGAGTGTACGTTCGTCTTTTGAGCCTTTTTCTTCCTGGCTGCCAGCATGTCGTAGAAGGGGTTGTGCGATATACTCTGCCTGCAAAAAACAATAAATTGTTAATCACTTGCTTACTCTTACAATTATTTTAGGATTATAAATACTTTATACATTAACTTTACACTATTTCACACCAGTTCAACATAAAATATTAACACGATTGGAATTACGACAGAACTCAGGACCTACCAAGATGGCGTCACTTTGAATAATGGCGGGCAATCATTTCAGAATACATTTTAGCCAATGTATAATTATACTTCGTTGTACCATGAAGAGAAGTTACGAATATTTATTTACAGAACATGGTAATCTTCTTAATTTATGTAATTGGTAATAAAAATTTAATTGGGAGGCAGTTAATGCGTTTAACGTAACAACTTACCGCACACATTTGATCCACTCCTCCTTCTCCTCGTCCGTGGCCGCAGACATTCTGTACACGGTGTGTTTCCCTGCGACAAGAAACAACAATTATAAACTCTGACGCTATAATTAACACGGCACGACGACGGGGCGCTATAAAAATGCCGCGTTAAATGGTGACACAACACGCACGGGATTCGATCGGCACCAGAGGAAGACGCTTTGTTCGTGGTGCATTTAAATTCTTTACTTTCTTTGTGCTCTTTGTTATTGCAGTGTCTGTGCTTTCGTGCCAGAAAGAAACCTAAGGGTGGTTTTTAGCTACAGATTATTTACGGCAGAAGGATTTTGAAAGGACGTTTGGGAAATTGAAATTAAACGCTGTTGTAATTAGTTTAAGGAACAGAGTGTTTAGTCTATAAGATGTTGCAATTAGTTCGAAGAACAGTTATCGGAGTCGATTAATTTACACGACATTGCTAACGTTGCGATTAACTTAGAGGAGAGTGTTGAAGTGTAATTTCGTATCTCGTGCAAAGATAGTGCTGTGTCGCAAATAGTATAAAAGTGTTGTCAGGCGATCAAAGATAGAATAGCGTTGACTAATCGTTAAACAAACACGCTTGTACTCAAGGTGGACTATTCTTGCAGTGAGTTGAAGCTAGCGAATGTCCGAAGCGGGAGAACCAGGGAATTCCCAAATTTCCTCATCCACTAGTCACGACGTATATCTCCGTGACAATTAATCGAACATAATTTTACCATTATAGTGTCCGTACCTTCGACAACTTTTCCCTCGCTGTCCGTCTTACAAGCCTTAATAAACTCCGAGCCAGCAGCGTATAGCTCGAAGCAGTGGGGCTTGTGCCTGTCCTGCACCTCTCTGACCTGAATGTTCTCCAAGGGAATGATGCCCCGTGGCTCCTTGTCGGTCGTGTACTCGAAGTAATACAGACAGTTGTCGTTCAATATGAACCACCGCCTTTTCCAGCTCTTGTAACGTCCACCTGGAACAACCAGCAAATCGTTTAAAGTTAGGCAACGGTGCACGGTTCTACATGCTTTATTTACCTGCTGTCTCCGTCAGGGCAGCAGAGGGACAAAGCGATACGAATATCAGAAATCAGGTAAAAAAATCAACTATCGTCATTCCGTCAGAGTATCCAGATCAGTGATTCCCAAATTTTATTTAACGGTGAGCTTTCAAATTACATCACGTTCTCTCAAATTACATAGCCTATCTACGATCAGAGTTTTTAGTGCAAGGTTTAGGGTGGTTCTGGTATGGAAACTTTTGAATTCTGGGATACCACGTTCTCAAACTCCTTACTCTCAAAATTCCATATTGCCAAATTTCCACCTTCTCAAATTCCTTACTCCCCAAATTTCATACTACCAAATTTCCACCTCTTCAAATTCCTTACTCCCCAAATTCCATTCTGTCAAATTTCTACCTTCTCAAATTCCTTACTCTCAAAATTCCATGTTGCCAAATTTCCACCTTCTCAAATTCCTTACTCCCCAAATTCCATATTGCCAAATTTCCAGCTTTTCAAATTCCTTACTCCCCAAATTCCATACTACCAAATTTCCAC